TTTAACAAATTTACATACGGAACAAAATATGGAATATATCATTGGAACTGTTGATTGAATTTACAACTGATCAAACTGCTTATGGCCCCCATTATTTGAATTTATAATTGGGGGAATAGTATTTTTTTTTTAAGATTGTGTGGTTGAAAAGTTTTCGATTTGAATGTAATATTATTTTATTAAAGATTGTGTGGTTGAAAATAGAAGAAAAAAAATTAAATTAAATTGAAGAGTTTTAAAGGGGGCCAAACGGGGCTAAAATTCATCACAAGTAAAATCTCACCTCCCCAACAAAAGCCTGCAGCTCCAATCTTCTCTATGCCTTTGCTTTTCAGAGCTCCAATAAGTGGCTTTGCAACTTCAGCCCCAGTTTGTTGCCCATTTTGCACTCTCATTTTAGAAAAAATTCACCCGTTGCCAATCCTTTCAACTAACAATGCACAAATATGTTATAGTCCACAGCAGCTTTTTATTTCCCAATTCCTTTACTACCCTCTAAAGTGAGCAACAGTTATAAGAGGTGGAAAAGTCAAAAAAGGGTGGCTGTTGAAGACAAATGGCGGTTTCGAGACAATTAAAAATTGTACAAGTCAATTCAAAAATAGATGTTATCATGTGGGACCCATGTTGGTAGAAAGAATGCATTTTTTGGGTGAAAATAGGAACCAAACAGGGGCTCAAATCCTTAGTCCTATAGAAGAAATATTGTTTTTTTTTTTTTTCAACAATCAAAATCCGTGGAATAGTCAAAAATAGAAGTGAAAATCCTCGCAAAAGAAATCTAACTCTACCAATTCCCTCAATTTTACAAGTCATGTCATTACCCATTTGGACTTGGCCACCATTGAGTTCATTAAATTCAGTAAACCACTCCTTCACAGGATACATATGAAAAGAGCATCCTGAATCAAGAACCCACTTCTTGGGGTTTCTATTTGATGAAGTCACAAGAACAACTCCTTGTACTTCAGAATCATTGTTGCAGACAGTAGCTGCAAAACCATCAAGGTTTGGATTACCTTTCATATCAGACATCTTTTTAAAACAGTCTTTTATGAAGTGACAAGTTTTGCCACAGTAGTAGCACTTCCTGGTTTGAGTTTTGGTTTTTGATTGCCTCTTATTTTGATATCTAAATTTAGGAAGTTGGGGTCTTCCCCCCTTTTAGGAATTGAAGTTGCACCGATTTTTCTTCTTAGTAGGGTTGAGTTTTTCTTTAATATTTAGATCTTCCCCAAATTTAGAATGTTTTATCTCAGTTGTTAGTTCAAGCTCTCTATTTCTTAAAGCTCAGACAATGATGTCAACAGTGAGAGCATCCCTCCCATATTCTAGGGCATTTCTAATTTCCCTATATTTATCACCCAAGGCATTTAACAAGGCAACAGCTTGTTGGTCATCTGATAACTCTTCATCACAGTTGCTTAGGTCTTGAATCAATTTTGTGAATTTATCAATATTTTCTTCTAAGGTGGAAGAGGTGTCAAATCTAAAATTGTAAAATTGCCTCAAAAGATACCACTTATTTGGCATTGTCTTAGTTAAGTATAGGGATTCTAATTTGGTCCATAGTTCTTCAGTAGTCTCCTACTGTTCTAATCACATTATCAGACAAATGCAAGAAGATTGTGCTCCAAGCAATTTCGTCCAGTTCTTGTCTCCTATAAGCACTAATTTCAGTACCCCATGTCCCAGTTAAGGCACCTGCACACCTCTGCTGTAACAGCAGAGCCCTCATCTTTTGATGCCAAAGATTAAAATCCCCAGTCCCCTTCCAAACTTCTACTTCAAACTTATGTGTAGTAGACATGATTAACACATAGATTCACAAAACAATAAATTATACAATACACTAAGTATAACAGATTGAATTGATATAACCAAGTTGCAGATTGAGCAATTTTCAAGATAGGACAAAAGTATTACATACTAAGAACTACCATCCTATAATGAAAAATCATGCATATTACGGGATCCAGTTATACAATTCAAAAGATTCAAGAGTAACATATATAGCAACACAATAATCAGTCAAAGCAGAAATACTGAAAGAAATATCAAATGTCCAGTTTTAACAGGTTTAAGGGCTAATGACCCGCAAATCCACAACTCCCTCAGATTCCCAAATCCTTGCAGGAGATCTTGGACAAAGGTAAGTTGTGGTAGGCCAATTACCTTAATAACCACGTCAAAACTTTCACAAGAAAGAGTGTACCTTACTATACACAAGTTATAAGTCTGAAAAGATTATACAAGAACTGAACACCAGTGTAGTTTCAGTAAGAGATTACACTTGGAGATTGAGAAACAACTGAAGAATTTTGGGAATGTGATCAAATAGGCCACGAGTCACAGCAACTCAGTAGAACTCAGCACTCAGCTCCAACAGACTCGGAATGAGTCAACTCGACTCACCAGCACTCAATAACGAGTCAAGTTATCACACCAACTCATTGACGAGTTACGCGTCAGAATAGTTTGTAGACTCAAAGAACACCAAGTTTTCCAGATCCAGAGGAGTTAGGGATTTATTTTTTTTACTTCGAAAAATTTTCAGATCCAGATATTTACAAGCAAAAATTCAGAAAAACTTTTGGTGTTTAAGGATTCAATAAAAAATTGAATCAAACAATTATACCCAAAAAAAAAAAATTGTAAACCCAAAAACTCTTAGGGTTTCAACAAGAACAGTTTTCAAAAAAGGGCAAAAAACTTAATCGAACAATTTCCATCACTCTGATACCACTTGTTGGTCTCAGAATCGAATATTAAACGATTTAAAGTACAAAAAACTGAAACTGAAAATGAAGACGAACACATGAGATTTTTCGCCACGAAGGCCCGGATGTTCAGCTTAAAGCCTACTCACCCGTTGAGCATCTACAAGTAGATATTGCTTGATTCCACTAAGAAATTTCTCAAGAACAGTACAAATGTATGAAGGAAACTTAAGTTCCTTCAATATTTTCTCTCGCCTCTCTTTTCAAAATACAACACAGTGAATTCACAATCTGCTCTTTCTAAGATTGCTTACAAATACAATCTTCTTAATCTTCACACAGAAATTTCAGAAAAAATAACACACAGTAAACAGATCGAAGAAAACCCTCAAGAAACCGAAAAAACCCTAAATGCTTCCAGAGACAATAACACTCAAATCGTCAAGAAGTGAGAGAGAGAGGCTGCTATTTATATTTCATCACAAATCACATTGATCCAACGGCTGGGAATAAGTCAGATGAATGGTCTAAGATTAATCAGAAAACAAAAGGTCATAATCGTGTTAACCAATAACACGTTTTTTAACTTAGGTCATTCAAAAAGGACCGGGTTAACTTTGAGGCCCAAATGAACGTCCAACCCATCAACATCAGCTGAAGTTCAATTAATAGTGAAGCACCAACCTATGTCCAACACAACGTTTTCAGGTTTCGTCAATGGCATATGGGAAAACACATGATACGTCTTTTACAATATGTGAAGTGGAGATGATGAATAGTGGCATGACTCTTGTTCAATTTCAAAGGGCATATTTATGTTTGGATTAGGAATGACAAAAATACCCGTCAAACTCGATACTAGGAAGGCTAGGGATTACCCGCTTAATCGGATAATCTTCCCCACCCCAAGGAGGGTACAAGTAACAGGGGCCTCCCCCTGCCACTTTTTTTTTTTTTTAAGAATTCAATACTTTAAATGGAAAAATTTTAAAAAAATTTCATTAATTCTAAATAGAAGATGGCAACTAAGATTATTTAAAAAATATGATAAACGATCAAAATCTTAATTTACCAAATATATTCGAATAATTTATCTTTTAAAAATATTTTAATTAAATAAAAAAATTAATAACTATATTATTATCTCACTTGAATTATTAAAGGCAATAAAATGAATTATAAAAAAATTAAATGTGTACATAAATAGGGCAACTGCCCGCCTCGACCCGCTTTAAACTGGTGACGGGGCGGGTAGAGGGCAAGAAAATGCCCAGAGGGATGGGGTCGGGGAGCCTGCCCCACTTCGAACTCGTCCCTTTGCCGATCCTAGTTTGGATTGTTATAACCCTTTTACCCTTATAATTCCTAGCACTTTTCTTTTTTCTTTTTTTCTTTTTTTAAAATCAAATAACACATGCAATACACTTAAGCCATGACGAGTGCACTTTGAGCTAGATCCAAAGAAAATAGATGGAATCTGTCAACAAGGACAAATTATCCAATTTAGTCGAAAAGTTGGGGTGGACAAAAGGTTGGGGGTACGTCCCATACATATTGGAAACGTTGGGATGAAATATGAAAATTTCCTTTAAAAAATGACATCATTCTCCAGGTTTAATGGTCACCGAATATCTGAACTCAGATCTATTTTCAGATACATCGTTAAATTTTACAATATTTCATTCAATCCACCAATCAGTTTTCATCCATTATTTAACTAACATACTACGTGAGTACCAACTAGATTAATTGTGTTACTTTAAAAAAAAAGGGGGGGGGGGGGTTAAACCCCAACCTTGAGGACCCCTACCGCTCCGTCCCTAGATCTTTGTGAGGGAGGTAAATCGCGGGATATACTCCAACAGGTTAGGGAACAAGAGCTGCATGTACACTGCGCCTACAAGGAATCCAATTCCATGTTTCAGAAATCGAACCCCCACATTGCGGCTGTCAGCAAGACGTAAGGTAACCTCACTCCTGTCATTTGCACAATTAGACTATGCCCCGGAAGGCAATTGTGTTACGTACTTAATTGTACCTTTTCTTGCTAAAAATCCGATTTTATGGAGCAGCGCATTTTGATTCCAAAAAACAAACTTCCATGTCATGCAACTCCTCAAGTTGGATTGGTTGTCTTCAAGTCAGAATTTTCAGTAGCCAACTTTACTCATAACCACCATCGATTCACCAAAAATGGTCATCGAAGGGCATCTAAAATATATATTCATTAGTGAAACCCCTCGAGAAACTTGTAGCGAAGTTAGAATCCAACTTTGCAAATTAGCGACAATATTGTCCATATCAAATATGCCATAGATGACACGAAATTCACAGGCAAGCTCAATTTGAAAGTTTCACAAGAGGTAGGTCTTTTGACCCTCGTACATGAGTACAATTTCACTACCTCAGCACCTACAAGCTGGTCCAAGAAATAAAGATTGATACAACAATCCACCATATTCAAGCAAACATATCCTCAACAAACTGCATATGAAATAAGTAAACATAATTTACGATAATTTACTTCAAATACTTAATACACCAATCCAACATGTCCTTTTGAGCCTCTTCTGCACACTTTTTAGTAGCTTCATCATTATCCTTGTACCTCACAGACCAACCATGTGAAACCCCAGGAAATACTTTCACGAAGGCGTCGACCTGAAAAGGGAAAGACCGTCAAAATTTGTTTTTTAAGTCTTCAACGATGGATATAAAACTCCCTACAAAAGATGGAATTTCTGACGTATTAACCCAAATCGACACTAGACAACTATATCTCGAACATTCTATTTCTATGGCTAAAAATCACTCGAGGTTAGAGAGCATAGTTGTTCTATCTATATAATTGTTACTCAACTATAATGGATTTATATGATGTAGATTTTTATTCAAGCTACTTTTATAGTGACGAACAGACAACATGTTTAAACATAAAAGTTACAAAAGTTCAATTCTAAGTGATATTTTGTTTCAAAAAAATGTGGACATAATTTAAATTTTTCTCAAGTCATAAATGCTTTTTGTCAAAAAAAAAAAAAAAAAAGGAAAAAAAAAGGTTACTTATTCTTAGTCTAAGGTAATAGTTACTTTCAAAACTAGCAACTTATTTATTCATCCTTGACAAGAGAATCAATTATTTATTTTATTCAGCCAAACAAGTGGCACTCACCTCTATAAAATCATAGAAGTTTGAAGAAATCATAGCTAGAATTTGAGATGAAGTCTCATCTCAGCATTTCTACTTCAACCTTGAATGAAATAGGTAAATATAGGAGCATGTTAATCCTCCACATTAAATAAATATTCTGAGGTTTTCTACCCGTGGTCTTACAGTTCACCAAGCTAGTTGTCCCATCTTAAATTGTATCTCTCTTCCCTTCTGTAGAATCCATGCAACAGATTTCAATTCACTAATACTTGTCAACTTACCAACCCTAGCAATTTTGTTGAAAGAAGCATGTAACAATTATAAATCCCATTATAGAAAAACCTCAAGAGAATATGAACTTTGTCTTGTTCCAAACTCAGTTGCCGAAAAAAAATCAAGTAGATGCACATAACTACATATGCAGGATATTAACGCTTGAAGCTGAGAATTGGCATATTGTAACTGGAGGAGTATACAGAATTTCTTACCTCAGGCTTTGCGTTTAAGGCGGCATCAAATTCTTTCAAGAGCTCTGGTGGAGACCTTTCATCATTCTCAGCTCCAAGAATAGAAATTGGAACCTTAACCGCTGAAAATTGTTCCAATGTTAATGTCTCAACACAAAACTATTCAAGTTCTGATTGACCCGTAATAAAACTCTAGATAAGTTACAATACAAATACATAGCGTAAAAAACACTGTTAGTCGCTCAACTTAGAGTGAAGTTACAACCGAAATTTATTTTGTTCCAAAGTGATCACTGAAGTTTTACTTTTGTTCTAGTTTAGTCACTTGGTTAAACATCATTAGTAGAACATGTAATATGGAAGACCTTCATGTTGATGCTGCGTCAGTCCATAAAAACAACTGATGGATTTTAAATGAGTGAATCATAAATGAAACTTCCCTTTAAGCTAAGTGACTAACAGCATATAACCTAGAAGGCATGCTTCCCAAGCCAAGAATGCAGAACATGGTATTCAGCAGAATAATAAGATAGATCGATCTCTAAATCCAACATATGAATAAAAAAGGGGGATTTCGCAGATTTGTACAAAACATAAGTCTTACCCTGTATATCCTCTAAAGATACAAATGAAGGATGTAGGATCACTGAAGCCTGGATATAAGCATACTTTGCTAGTTCCACAGCGACCTTGGCTGAAAAGTAGTTTTATTTAACAAACTTACATACATAACAAAATGTGTCATATATAATTGGAAATGTTGATTAAAATCACAACAGATCAAACTGTAAATAAGCTTACATACTTAACAAAATGTGTTATATATAATTGGAATTGTTGATTAAAATCACAACAGATCAAACTGCTTAAACTTTCATCTCGGGAAAAAAAATCACCTCCCCAACAAAAGCCTACAGCTCCAATCTTCTCTATGCCTTTGCTTTTTAGAGCTTCAATAACTGGCTTTGCATCTTCAAATCCTTGGTCCTACATGAGGAATATTAACTTGTAGAGTTTTTCAAACAAAACTTGTGGAATATATAGGAAATGAAAGTGAAAATCCTCGCAAAATAATTTACAGAATTTTTCTTCTTTCTTTTGATTCTGGATTTGTTTGGGCGTGTGGAGGGAGGGGACAACAATTTTGACGGTCCAAAGCTTCATAAGTTTTGCAACTGTCAATGGAACGTGGCAGTTGGAACTAAGAAAAGCTGACACTACTCTTGTATCTGAAAAGGGGGTAATTGGACCTAAGGGATTATGGTATATTTTATTGGTAGTGTTAGATAGTACAAGAACGTATTAAGGAAGAAAAATAAGGCAAAATCTGGTTGATTATAGTGTCAAGTACCATATACCAAGCATGCACTTATATTTCAACTGAAGATGGATTTTCACTGGCTGGGATAGTTTCAGATAATGGCAAATTGAGTCGAGTATGAAAAGAGATAACTCACTGGTCCATGATCTTTTATCCATATCTGAAAGGGCCTATCAACATTCTCTGGCTCATATGGATCTCCATTCAGGAAATCTGGCACAACAGTATAAAATCCAGCAGCAGCAACTTTGTCCGCAAGCTTCCTTCATAATTGTAAGTGCATTACATATATTAGCATGACACATAGTATGGATTTATATTAATTTCACATGGCTATGTATGTACGAATTTAACAAGCTAGGTACACAGGCCATTGACCATATGCCTAAAATGGGGAAGAAACAGCTACAAAATCATGAGTCCTATATTAAAAATTACCGCATGGTAAAATATTATCCTAAATTAGGAAGAAAGCAGAGAGCAAGTACCTCAAGTTAGGAGCTTCATATCCTACATAGATCAAGCCAAATGAGAAAAATTAGAATGTAAAAATAATAGGCAAAATTTATTTATATTTATGGGATGTATGTATATTCACTTCCACAACTTACAACAAGCCTAAAGCCCCATTTAGTTTTCGAAAATTAGTCACAGGACTATGTGACAACTATGTTCTAATTAAAAACAGTTTCTCTTGAAGTGAAGAGATTAAGATCCATCTTCTCAACAAAATTAACTAAACTTTGTGGAAGTATATTTATATCTTGAATAGAAGGGCTGCTTCTTTCATTGAACCAGAAAAAGAGTTAAACATTTATGCTCTCATAAATAACTTAAAATAAAGAGGAAATTGCCCCATGCAATGTTCATCATCATTCTATGCTTTAAAAGCTCTATAGCACGGACATTTCAACTAGGACAGCGTGTCCGAGTCCAACACGTGTCAGGCACGTGTCAATTCCGACACTTCTTGGGCCCTCTACTATAAAATTTTTTCACTTTTATTTAAAATATTATTTATTTTTAAGTTATTAGTAAATATCATATAGATCCTTACATTTAAAAGATTTTAACAAAAATAATAATAATTATAAAGCTAAATTTATACTATATAAATGAAGAATTTTAAAAAATTTAATCAACATCTCAGCGACGTGTCGTGTTAGTACTTTTTTTGGAAAATTGCATGTTGGCATATCCGACACGTATCGTGTCGGACATACGTGTCCGTATCGTTGTATCATAGGTTAAAAGAAAGATAATACATGATAAGCATAAAATTACTTAATATGAAACAAAAATATTCTCCAAAATCAGTAGAACGTAATGTAAAATAAGGTGTATTTAAACAAGCAAAACCTTTATGCCAAAGGCATGACAATACTCAAGTCGCATATGCAAGATGAATAGATTGAAATCAACTATCTTGGGATCCACAAACTACTTAACCCCTATTTGGCCCTCATTTTCTAAAACTCATACTTCCTCAAACTCATTTTCCACTACATATTTCATCATCTTTTATCAAAATATACTAAAAAACTGATTTTTAGCTAAGCCAAATAGTGGCTTAATTCACTTCTAAGCCCAAGAAAAACAGCATTTGTAGATGCTAAAATGCCTTAACAATCATCAAGGCCAACCAATATTAGACAATAAGATTCAAACTTTGCAACACCAAAATCCCATAAAGATGAAAATAGACAAAATTTTCCCTATTAGGCAGTGAAAATTATAATTATGAGTGTGTCATTTTAGATATATATAGCCTGCAAACAAACAACACTTAACAAACCGTCAAGCAAATTAATTCAATAAAAATTCTCGACCTCTAACATACGTATTCAAATAATTGAAAAGAAGCAGTTCTACTACAAGAAAAAATATAGCTAGTGAAGATCGCGTTCAGCTTGTTTCGCATGGAATCCTAAAAGAGTCGGAGATGAAAATACAAGTCAAATCTCGAAAAACTCATCTCAAAACTGCAGTGTTCAGAATAAAATGTGAAATTATAGACTTCGATAATTTCTACAAATCCTATATTTTAATTGAGATCGAATTTTCATCTTACGTTGTTCTTAAGGTTTCAGACAGAGAATTTGACATATCCAAATTGGCAAATGTATTCAAAACCTTAAAAACAGCAAAATAAGAAAACCCAATTGAAATATGCAACAAAAATGAAATCTTGCGGTGATAAACCACTCTAAACATAACTTGGCCAAATGAAACTCTACAAAGGGAACCTAGAATTAACACACGAATTAAAGAGTATAAACAATTTCACACACTTGTATTTTATTTATTCTGTAAAAAATTAACACATAAGGTGATTGAAAAAAGCGAAACTCTACAGAGAGAACATTAATCAACAAAAGATTGAAACTTTACAACACCCGAAATCAAATATTTCTAGAAAATACATACCAAAAACATCAGAAACCAGAATAACAGCAAGCTTGGAATCAGCAGAGCCAGAAATATAGCATTTGAGGCCTCCAAGCTCTTCAACATGCCCTATCCCAGTGCTTGAGCCTAGAGTTGGTGGATTTTCACAGCACTGAGAGTGTGGGCCTGACATTTTATTACCTCTGTTTAGGAAAAATGAGTCAAATGATTAATACTGCAAAATCACACGGCAGAAGCGATGACTTCAATTTATAGAAGATCCGTTTATAAAAATTTGCACTTCTATCCCCAATCTTTCTTACTTCATAAGCATAACTCAAACATTTATTTAATGGTGGATGTGGTCTCTATAAATTCTCAGAGGTAGAAATGACGAAATTCCACATCCTCGCCCCACAATGTCGAATCCCAAATTTTCAAACCCACTATGAGTCCTTTATTTATTTTTGGGTAATTAGCACAAAACGTCCCTATCTTTCATGATTTTTGTAGAGAACGCCCTTACATTTCGTTTTTTGACGCATTTCATCCCTACCTTTAAACGGTAGGTAGGCGGCGGATGTGTGACGTTTGAAGTTGTCGTTCGTACACCTGTCCCCAATGGAAGAATGAGTGAGATTTTCCCCTGCATATCATGGCCTTACCACTCGGTCCCCGATGGCCAGTGGGGGATTCGGTATAGCAGCTCACGTTCCTTTGCGCTGCGCGTTCCCGCTAGACTGGACACATCTTAGCTGTAGGAAGTATGGTTTCGAAAGTGACTTCGGTTCGCCAGTTCAGGCTCAACTCCTCGCTTTACGTTCATTTTCTTGTGCAAAACATCATTTTCATCATTTTTTTCAATAAAAAGCTATAAAATGACTAATATACACTTCTATTTAAATAAAAAAATAAAGAACTAAATGCAATCGTAGTTCCAAATAAAAAAATAAATAAAATCTCCACCTCCACCTCCACCTCCTCTTTTGAACTTTTTAAAAAATTGGACCTATGATTGCAATTAGTTATTTTTTTTATTATTTAAATATAATGGTATATTAGTCATTTTATAACTTTTTATTGAGAAAAATAATGAAAATAATGTTTTCCATAAGAAAAGGTAAAAAAATGAAAGGTAAGGACGTTTTCCACAAAAATCATAAAAGGTAGGGACGTTTTGTACTAATTATCCAAAAATAAATAAAGGACTCATAGTGAGTTTGAAATTTTGGGATTCGACATTGTTAAGGCCTTGTTTGGTATACATTAATGTAAAAATGAGAGTGAAAAATATAATCGTTACGAATTCTACACAAAAGATAGAAAGTCAAATATGGTAACTTAATGTGATGGATAACGATCATATTTTTTTTATTTTAATGGGCAATTAATGGGAAAGAAAGGGAGGCTAAATCTTCAATCTTTAAATATAAGCAAAGTAGTTGTCAAATCTTCATTGTAGTTGCACAATTAACTTTTAATAATGAAAACTGTCTAAATTTTTGTAAAATAATGAGAGCTTTGGAAATAGGTGTTGATATAATTTTTTTCAGGTAAGAAGTAAACTCGAGTTTCGTAATGTACGGATTATGCATGTACCACAAAATTATGCAATTTGTGTCATTATTTACCACAAAATTATGAGAGCTCAAAGACAAACATTTTCATTTTTAAGAGTTGAAGACCAACTTACAACTATGCAATAAGTTGGAACCAATAATGAATTTTTTCTTAATTTTCTTTACTTCCTTTTTTTGGCGTAGGTGGCAGGGGCCGTTCAGAATCATCTCCAATGGCCCTATGCATTATAGGAAAAATAAATAAATAGTTTGATTCTTATTCTTTATCCATAAAAATAAAAAATATTATCATTATCCATCACATCAAGTCATCATATTTAACTTTTTATCTCTTGTATGAATCTCGTAACACCTATATTTTTTATTCTTACTTTTACAAAAATGAATATCAAACAGGGTCTAAGCACCTGCTTGGACTTCAAAAAACTTATTTTCACTTACCCATTCCCTATAAAATTATTTTATACGTAAATTTAAATTTTTTTTTTATTATTTAAATTACACATTCTCTAAAACACATTTCAACCCACAAATGGGTCTCAAACTGGGGTTAATGAGGTAGAAATTTTTTTATTACCAATGCAACATAATTGCGATTTTGTCCAATCGACTGTCAACAGTTCCCTGTTTCATGACATATAGAGTAACTTTTTTATAAGTTTATCAAATTCATCAACTTTAAGCTTCCATTTGGCCCCTATTATTTCACATTATATTTTTTTCTCTCATTTTCAATAACATAATTTTTTATAAATACACGTGAACTAAAAAATTTTCTTTCTTTTTTCATCACATATACTCCAAAAAATGCTATTCCAAAATTATAATACCAAATAAGGGGCCAAATGAGAAATTAATATAATATTTGATGAGTTGATAAAAAAAAAATTAAGAAACTTTTGAAATTCAATAGTAATGAAAAACATTTGAAAATATTAATGACAACTCACAAAATTTTTGAATCTTCAATGATAATTGAAAAATAATATGTAAAGATTTAGACAACAACAAATTATGGATGGTACTCATGAATTTCTCAAAATGTATGAATAAAATATAATTTTTTTATGAAGCTATTTATAAATGAATAATTATATTATCGTCACAGCATTTACTTTGTGACTGTCTGGGAGAGCTTTTCTCCCAAATTCAGCAATTTTCTGGCCGTTAGAAATTGTAGAATGTGTCCCATTTTGGCAACAATTTTTGACAAATAAAAAGTGAAATACCAGCAAAACCAGTCTCTCATATAAAATAAATTAAAGGTCAAGGACAAAAAGGTCATTTTTGCTTTAAATGGTCCAAAATTACAGCTAAGTTGTTTGATTTTCTGCAGAATGCATGCTGTCAGCATGAAAAGCAACGTCCATATTTCAATTATCAACTGTCCAAATTGTGATTTTAAGCTCTCCCGGTTTTATTTTGGATTTTAATACAACTACCTTTATAAACACTTGTCCAAACATGTTGCATTTAATTCTACTATATATCATGCATGAATGACACAAGCTCTTACATCACCCTAGAGAATGATTGACAATGACAAAAGCTCTTATATCACCCTAGAGAAGGATTGACATAAGCTCTTACATCACCCTAGAGTGTATCTAAATGGATATGGAAAATTCTATTTGTACATAATTATCGCATATAATGGTGTCCATAATGTGATGTGGCAATCATCTGATTGTTGATGTGTAAATTTGAGATTTGAATTAAAAATTGGATTCAGTACCACATGTAATTATGGACATCATTATATAGACAATTATATACATGTAGCATTTCCCAATGGATATTGGACCGAGCTATATTCCCGCAGGCATGATCATGCACACACAACACAGGAGGGTCGAATTTTAAATTTAGGTGGGACCTACATCGATATGCGAGAGTGTGGTCATCCATTGTGTTAACCATCTAGGTCGTTTGGCAAAATTCATTAATATTATTGTGGGAAATTTTTTGCGCACGTTTGGATTTGCTAAAGTGGTCAAGCTATCTTACAAGCAAAAAAATAATCCACACACGATTGCTTATGAAAGAGAACTTATTTTAAGTTAAAACGAACATAATCAATAAGCACCTCCCATCAAACTAGTCTTATATTTTTAGATGACCAATACATTTACCCTATAATCAGGGGCGGACCCAAGGGGGTCCCCTAAGGTCATCTGACCCTCCAGTTTTTTCGATGTTTTTTTTTTTTGTCTTGGTTTTCGAGTTCACTATGGAATATCAAACAAAGTTGAAATATTACATTCTTAATATCATTTTGAAGTACTCATGGCCTAGTATTTCATGTCGTCAATATTGTGCGAAATGGTTAGTCGTAGCAAATGTTACAAAGAGTTAAAATAAGCTGTTCCAAACTAATATTTCGAGAATTTCGATAACAAGCTAATTTTAAAAAAAATTCGACGATTATACGCTAGCAATATCCATAAATCTTCTATATCCTCTCGAAACTTATTTCGAGAACTATATCATAAATATATCGAATGATCTAAATGAATATCGAAAATAATTAAAAGTACGTCAAACGTGTATGCTAAAAAGAAACATATAATTCGTCTTTTTTGAAAAAAAAAATCAATTATTTTATTAATGTTTATTATTTTTGCGCGACAAATTTCTCAATATAATTTACATCATTTTATTATGAAATCTTATATGTGGTATGACGTCAAATTTTATTTTATTTTTTTTGACGTAAAAATTCTTAATAAATTTTTTATTATTTCACGGTGGTTATAAATTGTTATACTACTTTTTCATCTTGATTATTTTTATATCTGAATAAAATTTATATATTAAAAAATTGAATCATTTTTATTATTATTTTTTTATTATTGTTACCTTTTTCTTTCGATCAATTAATTTTTTTCAAATAACGTCAAAAATTTTATTAGGAAATTTATTAGGTTGTTTTTTAAAAAAATAATTGATTGAGAGGAAAAAGTAACAATAAAAAAAATCCCAAAAATAATCGAATTTTTTTTATATATAAAAGATTTTTAGATGTAAAAATAATCAAGATGAAAAAGTAGTATAACAGTTTATAATCAATATAAAGTAATAAAAAAAATTTCGTCATTTTTTTTAAAAATTTAATTGTAACCCACTAATGTAAAATGTCTGCGTCCACCCCTGCCTATTATCATTAGATTTCTTATAATTTACCAACCCATCTTGGCAGATGTATTCGCTTATAAAGGGCATTTCAATAAAAATATTACATATGTTATTTTTCTTTTAAACCAACCCAAACAAGCCCTTAAATCTTTCCAGAAGTCTCTCTCAATTGATTTTCAGCTTTTTTAACTGTTGGTGAATGCTATGCCACGTGCTGAGTATTAATTGCAAATACGAAGGGGAAACTTTTTTGAATTCAATTCGAATTGAATGTCTTCATTTATGTGGAAGGTATACTCTTCAATTGGAACCATCTCGATTTTTCATTTTTCTACACCCAATTAGATGATTCCAACAATAAAGATTTCTAAGAAAACAAAGTTTGGTATAATTGATTGCTTACACAATGTAATTAATAATTATAATATTATAATTTGTGAAAATTAGAGATGTGTTTCCCAATTCTTTACATGGAGTAATCAGCCTTCAATTGTGAGGCATTACATGGAGGAAATTGTTAATATAAAGACATTAAAATCACACTCGACTTTCTTTCGAATTGGAGATATTAAGTGATTTCATTTTCTTGCCTTTTACCTTTGAGTCATACAAAAATCTCGTATGTTTGAATATCCACGTTGATGTTTTAGGTCATGTAAAGCCCTATTCATAGGCCATAGTAAGATAAATTGCAAACCCATAATCGTACTGCCTGAAATGCTGGGAAGTGCAACCTAATTTTCCTTTAACCGGTATGAAAAATAATTTCGAACTTAATGGTCACCTTCAACAAAATGTGAAAATTTGAACAAGCCTCCCAATATCCTGGATCCTATATTCGAAAGGAGAATAATTTGACTCAATCATATTGTAACTCCAATTAATCATGTCAAAACAAGTGTAACGTGAAAAATCGAAGATACTTTTTTTGTTGGCAACAAGTTCCATATATCACACTCCAATAGGTGAGCCAGCAAATATACAAATCTTATAACCTAAAAAAGCTATAAAGAAAGAAATACATAATTTTATTAACTTTTTTAGAAATATGTCTGAATTCTTTATTGTTTACTTCCTTATGAAGAAATAAAGGATACTATGTTTTTCACTTTTTGATTTCTTTTTACTTGATATCTTTGGTAAACTAGTTCATCTTGCCCGAACGAGACTCTTGAGCACTCTTTAAAAACAAACTCATCATCATTATTATATCGAGTTGTCCATCCATGAGCAACACTGGGGAAGATCTTCAAATAGCTATCAATCTTCAAAATAATTATAAGAGTGATTAATCGATTTTTCAATTTATGCATGCTAAAAAAGAAGTTCGATTTATGACTTGTCTCTTCATATAACCGTCATGCTTTTGAGTGATAATAATATGTGATCATACAAATTGTGTAGATAAAAATAGATAATAATCGTGAGTCGTGAAGATAAAAATTATGTTTGACGAACTAAAATTATAGTTTAAGCTTTGCCAAACATGCACTTCTACAAGCTCCTTAGGCATGTCACTATTTTCATTGTCCAATACGCTTCATCAAATAAGCTTTATTCTTCAATAGTCGCTTAATTTCTCATCAACGTCTACTTAAAGCATCAAAGGTACAGTGGAGAGTAACTTCCATTGTTGAAGAATCCCAATAGTTTGCTCCTTTCAACTTCTTTTTCACTTGATGTGTTTAATAAACCAGTTCAGCATGTCTGAGTGTGACTCTTGGGCACTCTTAATGGCAAATTCATCATCATCCTTATATCGAGTTGTCCATCCATGAGCAACGCCAGGAAATATCTTCACATAGCTATCAATCTGCAAAACAATTATAAGCTAGTTAATCGGCTTTCCAATTTAGTGCAAGTTCGAGTTATCACCTAATTCTCTTGGAGAGAAGATGAGTATTATGAATTTGTCTTTTCAGTATCTCATTCAACTAAGAAGATCGACTCACTCTACACACAACTAAAACCTTAACAAATTTATGGCTTTTTGAATCCAAAAAATTATGAATAATGTTATTTGCAGTGAAGACTATCGACAGTCTCCTTATGTGGCGTATATTTGGCAGTTTTTCATTTGATGTATAATTCAAAAAATAACTATCATATCTATATATCAAATATCGAATTGCCAAGTGTATGCCACATAGGGCGACTACTGACAGTTTTCACTACGAATAGCATTACTCAAAAATTATGTCAATCGAATATGAATTTAAAACTCGCAAAAGGCGAGGATCGGCTAGAGCTTCTTACCTTGGTTTTTGCTGATAATATTTGTCCCCAGCGTTTTACGTGCTCGGGTGGAGCATAATGATCGATCTCAGCTCCCAATATAGAAATCGGACAATTCACCTCTGAGATATCAAGGTATTGATCAGTCATAAATCTAAGAAAAGTTAAAAACTTTCAAGTTTACCATTTATTTCATCGTCTGTCATTGGACCAGGATGTAACACAACTGCAGCCTTAATGCAATCAAATTTCGCCAATTTCACCACAACCATCCCTAAAATAAGAACAGAAAGTTAATATTTTTTCGGGTTCGATGAAAAACTGCATATACTAAAATCACTTACCTCCCCAACAAAAACCAGCAGCTCCTATGGCAGATACGCCTTTGCTTTTTAAGGCAGAAATTAGTTCCTTCGCATCCTCACACCCTCTTTTCTAGAGAACAAAATTCAAATGACAGGCAAATAAATACAAAAATGCTGATCGTTTAACAAGTCCTTTCGTTTTAGGTCGTGCTAATTACAGATTGTCGACAAGCCTCTCTATATCTCAGATTAATCAGCATTGTGCAGAGAGAGATGAATATGCTTGCTGGGTTTATCAAACGATTTGGGTTGTGAATCACGAAACTGAAGGTGCAAATGTGCAATGAAATTGGCACAGAATGAAGCAAGAAACGAACCACAGGATGAGCCTTTAACCATATCTGTCGATCAAAATCAGGATTAATGGCTGGATCACCATAGAAGAAATCAGGAACCACTACTAAGAACCCCGAAGCTGCAACTTTATCTGCGATCTTCCTAGGTAATATAATATGGTGAAACACATAAATCGGAAATTTTAATATGTATAAACAACTTATATTAAGTAGATTTAAAGATAGAATGATATAATCACGAAGTTAAAATGTGATTATTAGACTAAAAGTTCGAGCACTGGCCAAACAAATAATTCTCCCTTTAATAAAATGTGAGTTCAAAAATCAGATTCTTGAATAAATTTTGATAAAAGTCGATGAAATGTGCGGTTGAAAGTTGAAAAAAGTTGTAGATCCATTAGATGTGTTGTTAACTTAGATATATAGCTACTAGAATGAACAAATTCAGGAAGACATTTACAGTACATAAAAATGGTAGAAACATTTCTTTGAAGAAAAATAAAAAATAAGCAAGCTTCGTAACTTATTCAATCAAATAAAAACTTAAAAGAACCTCAATTTTGGAGCTTCATAGCCTGCGAAACAATTCCAATGAAATTTAAAAACAAGATTATGTCAGTACACTCTTCATTGTATTAAGCTAACAAAATGAGTTTAAGGTTGTCAGATTATTACCAAATGCATCAGAAATTAGAAGAATGGCAGCCTTGGAATTTTGGGATCCAATTACATAAGTTTTTAGGCCTCCAATTTCTTGCACACTTCCTTCTCCACTTGATGGATTGAGGGTTGGTGGATTTTCACAGCACTGAGGGCCTAACATTTTCGATTATCCTTTCAACAAAGGCAGCTGTTTTGTGTGTTCTGTATTTGTTCAGACAGAAACACGAGGAATTCAAGATTTTATCCATTGGGAAATGCCATATGTACAATTTTTTTCTTAAAACATTGTTGACAATGTTGGTAGGTGGTAAAAAAGTGTTGGATGAAAAAAGAAATTAATTTTTGTACTGTCCAATGACAACATGCCATGTGACATATTATTAACGATGTTGTCAAAAACATCATACATCAACAAGGTGAATATAGGAGTTTGAGTCAGCACGGGCGGCCGTTGACCATCTACCATTGGCCGCAATAAAATATTAAAAGTCCGCTTGATATCCTTTTTTTTTTTTTTAAACCACAAATGCATTTTGCAATAGTGATTTAATGGAGAATGTGTGGCTAAGAATAAATAAAAGTTTTGAATTAATGTGCAATATTATTTTATTCAAGAATGTAGAGATGAAAAGCAGAGAGAAAAAATGTATTTTGAAAAAAAAATCGAACAAGCCCTAAAGTTTAAATATAACAATTATTTTGTTCAAATTGAACATATATAATACTGTTATAAGAAAAAACATGACTCATCAAAATGACATTGCTGCCAAATTTTGTATAATTCAAAGGAAGAGCACAAATTCAAATCTTTATAATTGTAATTGCATTAAACCTAACAAATATTATTTTGGTAAATTTAATAACATAATTCAAGAAGTACCAGAGTGGTTGAGTTTACAACAATCATTGTAAGAGGTCACAGGTTCGAATTCCTTAAAATTCTCCCGACGAATCTAGCACATGCGGTCGCGGGTGCTTGCTAGGTGCTAGATCTGTGCCTCTACATCGAGCATGATTCTTATCCATTGGAGAGCCAAGGTGGGGTGCGGGTTTTGATCACATGGAGACTCAGATTCATAAATTTAAATAGGTTGAGAACCCGAAATACGACTTTTGAAGGTTGAAGAACCAATCCTAATTTTCTCTTTTATTTTAATAGATCAATTTTTTATCATTCTTATGTGAATAGTTGCAATAATCACGTGTTTTAATTTTGTGAAAGTTGCGTTTATATAATATTTTACTATTTTAGAAATTTCATTTCAATAGTGCCAGTTTGCATGTTGCGGGACCAATATAGGAACCTAAATTCAAGAGTTCTGATAACAAATGTCTCTCAGTCTCTCTCACCGAAAAAGTAATTCAACTTTGTGACGAGTAGTTATTGCTGACTAAATTTAAAACTTGATAATGAGTTTAGAAATCAATTAATAAATAAATAATAATAATAATAATAATAATAATAATAATAATAATAATAATAATAATAAAAGTTATTTTAAGTGTACAGTACACTCAAAACCTCCTCACATGAGGAGGCCCCACTTCAGTATAAAACAATAAATAAATAAATAATAACAATAATAATAAGAGTTATTCTAAGTGTACAGTCGACTTAGGATTTTACACTTACAACCTCCTCGTGTGAGGAGGTTGTCACCCAAACTTTGTTGGAGATTGTATCTCCAGCACGGTTCTAATAATAATAGTCAGAATAATAATTTGGAGTGACTAAAGTGAAATTTTCCCTAAGTTGGGTGACCATGGTTTTACCCTACGACATTTAGGATGGTATAAATTTTAACTCGGGTAGGTTATAGTTAGCAAACGGTCTCAAACCTATGTCCATCTTGCACTTTTGGTTCAATGCCTTTAAATTTTGACATGGGCATCACAAACTTAAGTCATTAGGTGTGCAATCGATCCTTTTAGATGGATTCCACAGTGTTGATTATAGTTTACAAAAATTGGATCAAATGGTCCAAAATCCATGCCCATCTTACATTTTGGATCGATGACCTAAGTTGATGGCAAAGTTATTTAAGTAGGCCTTTAACAAAGGTATACTTGACAAGGATCGATGACCCAACTTGATGGTAAGGTTGACCATTTGAACAAACAACTATAGAATATATCATACAAGGCAAGAATATAAAAAATTGTTGGTCTTCATATGCTCGAAATGAGTACCATGGGTCATTAGTTAAAGAGAACAATGTTTATGAGGCCCCAATGATCCAAATGGCAATGTCTAAATCGTGCTGGACAAAGTTAAATAACAAGGTCGGGTTGGATTACATACATCTTGATTGGTACCACCATCACTAGAGCACTTACATGTATAATCTTTCTTCTTGACGAAAGTACTAGACAAGGAGAAATCTCAGGTTTCAAATCCTTACTTTTTTCTCTTCAGCTCTAAATGAGATTCAGGTTTTCACAAAAGTTTCTAGGCCCTTTTCATTTCAAACCTTTACAAATTGAACTTTTGAAGAAATTGCCAAATCAAATATATCCCTTCATAAAGAGAGAATAAATCAAGCACTAGCAGTGAATGAACTAAGCCATAGCTCAATCACCGAGCACAATCTGAAGCACACTAGGGTCTAAACGTCCTTGTACCTTCACCACTGAGGGTCTTCTGGTACAGAATTGGGTGGCACAGGATCCAACATGGTCGAATCCTCCTTACAAAATGAACCAAAACCATAGCCCAATCCATCAAGCCAAAGCCAAACCTTAGTGGTTCTAAATGCCCTGGTACCTGTCTCATTGAGTATTTTGGCAGAAGACTCAACAGTACCAAACAAGCCATGAATGTTTAAGCTAACCAAGGACGGGGATGGTGGCAGGCGCAACTACTTTATTCAATGTAATAGTCAACATATGCATGCTGGAAATTCCCAATCCCTAAGTATTTCTACGCAAATAAAATGCCGAAAATACCTTGTTTCTGATTTCATTACCAATGCTGCCGTTCATTCAGCATAACATAAACCTATTACTCACATAGACCTGAACTAAAGATAGAGATTTTAAAATGTCTACCCATTAATTTTATAATTTACTATCATTTAATTTAGGGCGTCGAATATTATGAAACTTCCACGAGAGTGGACATAATTAAGTTTCTTTACTAGACTCATTGAACTTCTAAAAAAATTGTTTCTCATCAACAGTACAAGTCCTTCGAGCAAAGTATAGCAAAACAAGAAACTATCAATGATGCCTGAATGAAACCACCACCACGAACAGTCAGCGACTATCTCCTCCGCTAGTAAGAGCGAGACTCCTGGAGATCACATCAGATAAAAGAAGTTAACATATTTTCCACAAAAGCAAGAATATTGAAAATGATTAAAAAAACATAACTCGTGTACATATAGGAATTGGGAAACTATGCAAGGAGAAGCAAAAATAAGCACCTTGTTGATTCAAAAATCAGTGCCTGAAAACAAATATATAAGGAAGCTCTAAAGTAGCCTAAGCTATTATCTTCCACGCTTTAAGCATATGACTGGAAAAAAATGTACGTTGGGTTTAAATTTTGCCATTATAATTGATAGAATGTGGTAAGATTCTGGCTGTCAATATGCAAAATCGTCATGAAACCTCTCATTCTAGGCTTGACCAAATCCATTCTCATATTGTCTTTCTGTTGTTTACCAATTCTTTAGGTAATGAGCAGATAACTAAGTAGCTCACTACGTTACTCGTTCATCATTCATTTATTTGCGAAAATTATCAACTCTCCTAGTCCATATGGCAATTCATTCACATGTTAGATTTGCATGATATTTAACAACATAACCACTTAACTCAAATATACCATTTTCCAAGCATAACAAATTAATAAAATATTGATGTTTTTAAATTAATAAAGTATTGATATTTTAGGAATTAGATTTTGACATTTTACAACTGTTAATATAATACTCTAGAAGAACCAAATTTTCATTGATAATAAACATAGACAACCAATTCATGACTTGCTAAATTAACAGATGACAAATCATCAAAAGCCAACAAAATAAATAATGAGTAAGTTTATGCATATACCCCAAAACAATAATAGAAAACAGGCTCATGGTAGCAGGGACCTTTCTTAACAAGAAACAAAAATCAAGATGACCTTTATTACTTTTTTTCCAGTTCAATATCTGCCATATGATGTTTGGAAACACAAATTTGCAATGGATAATCGGAGAAGTGGTTAATGGAAAGAGATCTTAAGGGAAAGTACAAAAAATGGACTATATTTCTCCTTCACGACAATAAGCTACGTAAGGAATGCAGTAAACATTTGACTGACATTTGCTGTATCTTCTAGAAGGTGCAAAGAATTTTATGAGGTAACAGCCATGTGCTACACAGAAGATGAGCTTCTGACTATGTAGCACGGACACTCTAACTAGGGTAGCGTGTCCGTGTCCGATACGTGTTGGAAGAGTGTCGGTATAGTCGGATATGTGTCGATACTGACACTCTTCGGACACTCTACAATAATCATTTTTCTTTCTTATTATAATTATTATATATTTTTAACTCAAAATTTTTAATAAATAACAAATATGTACTCATATTTAAAAGATTTCAACAAAAAAGAATCAATAATAAGTATAAAACTAAATTTAAACTATATAAATGAAGAATTTTAAAAATTTAATGAACGTGTCGACGACGTGTCGTATCGGTACTTTTTTGAAAAACCACGAGTCGACGTATCCGACACGTATCGTGTCGGACACACGTGTCCGTGTCGGTGCATCATAGGCTTCTGAAGCCTAGAAGTAATTACTTAAGCGAAATGCTTGCGTTTATAGTACATATGATGTAGGGTAATGCATAAGAAAGAGTGAAAACATGGAGTTCAAGAACAACCAGTGAAAACATGGAGTTCAAGAACAACCTTCTAGTTCATGTTGATTCACTCATGAATAAAATAACAGAAAACTATGCATCAAAGACATGTTGATTTCTACACAATGCTGAATTTGGACTCATTGATTCATATAGAATACCAAGAATCAGACATATAATTAAGAAACTCAAACAACCCAGACGTCTTATTTAGACAATGCAATAGAAACCAATTCGATAAAAAAAAATAAAAAAATCATAATAGAAATCCTAATCTAAGATGGTAAATGAAAGACTGCCACAATCAAAGCCTTAATCAAGGGAAAATTTCAAAATTACCATAGAATATTAAAATATTAAAACTGCCAAAATAATACATAATTTCCATATGTCGCCTGCATCAAATGTACAACATACTTCTAACCTCCTCATTCACTAACCCCACAAACCCACCCCCTCACCCCCAAAGAAAGGGAAAGCACAAAAGGAGGCCGCAATGAAAGCAAATTCCAGATTCTCCATATGAAGCTCAGTGCAGTAAAGTCAAAGAAACATTTTACAGTTATCAATGTATAGGAATTTGATATATTTCTCTTACTCATGAAATAGCGATTGAAAAGAGAAGAAAAAGGAAGGATACTGTAGGCTTGCTAAATAACTAGATGCTATAAACTTAAAAAGGATATCTAAAAGTATGTAGCTCTCAATCCAAATGCATCTCTTGACTACATGACACTAAATACAAAACATTTGCCAGTTCAACAGGGAACATGACACCCGTCTGGTCCAGTTTGCTTCATACAACTACAAAAACTTACAAAAAATGAACAACTGATGACAGTGAACCGGAAAAATGCCTTTGTGATATTTTTTCTCCTATATTTCCATACTCTTTTTTACCCTGTTCCTTTGCCATAGGATACCACCTGAGATCACCCTTCCTCGTTCCCCCGCGTGCCCACCTAAAATCTAAACCAGAAATGCAGTCAACAGCATTCCTCTTCTCATTTTTTTCTTCCTTTCCTCATATCCTCGTATAGAAATTTGATATATTTCTCTTACTCATGAAAAAGCGATTGAAAAGAGAACAAAAAAGAAGGATACTGCAGGCTTGCCAAATAACTAGATGCCATGAACTTAAAAAGGATATCTAAAAGTATGTAGCTCTCAATCCAAATGCATCTCTTCACTACATGTCACTAAATGGTCCAGTTTGCTTCATAAAACTATAAAAACTTACAAAAACGTGCAATTGATTATAGTGAAGAGTGAAACGGACAAATGCCGATGTGATTTTTTTTTCCTCCTATATTTCCATTCACTTTTTCACCCTCTGTTCCTTTGCCCATAGAATACGACATTAGATCACCCTTCCTTGTTCCCCCACATGCCCACCTAAAATCCAAACCAGAAACGCAGTCAACAGCATTCCTCTTCCCATTTTTTTCTTCCTTTCCGCTTATCCACCACTTCTTGGCAACAAAAACATAGTGAAAAGCCAGAAGAACGTGGCTGATTAGAGAGTAATGATGAACTTTTCAACTCATCTGCTTTCAACTGTTTAGAGCTTAAAATTTGGTAGAAATTGAAGACACTATTTTCGAAATCTAAGATCAAATTGTGGATCAAGAGATTTGCTACTTAGAAAGGGTTCTTTGAAGGTACCGGAGGTGCTATCAGCTATTCATTGTGTGTTCTTCATGAGCAGGACTTGAGAGTTAAGACTTAATAGGTGTGTATAATTTTGAGTTTGAAGGTGAATTCCATCTCCATTAGGATTTGCTGCATAAAATTGCTTTTGCCTGTTACCCTTTTTTAACTTTTCCCCATTTTATGTTTGGTTGGATGCATCTAGCATTTTGATATGAAAATGTTACCCTTGAAGCCACTCGTCTCTCTGGATGTTACTGGATCTTCTTGATGGAATATTATAACAGATATTATTTGAGTTAGTTTCCAATTTTGATATGTATTATAGGAAACAATGATCCTGCTATCATAATATATGAAAAGTTTTAGTCAATAAATTAGCCTCCGTTTGGGTTTAATTTATAAATAAATAGATATGAAAGTGGGATAAGTGAATTGTACTTGTGGATCAATTGGAATGTGTGGTCGAAAAAGAAGTTTGACCATTTATAAATAATGCAAATCATTTATAAATTAGGATAAAAGAAGCAACTGAACATCCTTAGTAGAAAACTAAACCGCGGTGCTTAAATGCAAACATACAACTTAATTTGGTTGGCCAAGAAACATTATTGTCCAAATCACTGTGAAACTTCTTTGCAAGAAAAAGAAAAATAAATAAAAAAGTGCTATGAAAAAAATATAATAATTAAAAAAGAAAAGAAGAAAGCAAAGCCAGCAATTCTCTACAAGAAAACCATATAATGGAAGAGGGTAAGAAAAGGTGGAAGGGCTCAGTAATACTTCAGTGAAATGGAAAAAATTGGCAAATAAGTTTGCACTTAAATAACACATCACATGATCTCCTGTAATCTTCTTTTACCTTCTAGGTAAGATTCATTAATTTTCAACACGTAGCATTCATAGAATTAAGTATTACGCAATCAATCATTTCCTAAATACTACTTTTGAATTATAGCATGTCCCCAAAACGACAAGCAATCAATCAATATCACCCAAATTCTAAGCCTGAATTTATGGATAGTGATGCACCAAATAGTTCAGTAAATACACAACTTACTAACCTATAAATAGCGCACGTGTTACACAATATAATTACGTTCCTCTATTGAAAAGTAATAGCACAATGGCATTACAACAAAGAAAGCAATCTACATAGATAGGCTAAATAAATAAATGCAAACTGGCTGTCCCTACAGAGCTGTTCCAAATTGTCCCACACGGTTAATGTCAGCAGCAGGACCTACATGGCCAGTTATAACGCAACACTTCAACTCTTAATGCAAATATAATGTTTGAAAATTTCTTCATTTTTATATTGTCTTCATAATTGTGTCACAGTTACTACCGTAATCATTGCATCTCCTGTCTTATAAAATTGGAACTCGTCAAGATGGTGGCAAATCTTTGTTGAGTTGGTGAACAAATGTGTCTAAAATTTAATCCAACTATGGCTTACAAAACGTGTAATGTGTAGTGTCAACCAGATAACTACAGTTCGATATGAAATTGATCCATGCTAGTACATATTCTCAAACATTCTTCCTCCACAACTTTATTATTGAAGTGACGTAGTGATTAACAGCCAGAAAAATATTTCTACACTCATGATTACGACAATAGAGAACAAAAACATATATAAAAATTATTTATAGCTTATTTCCCCTTTTATCCTAATTCCATCCTCAGAACTCGGTTCCATTGCTTAAATACCGTTAGTACATCTTAAAAGAAATGATTTCCTCATATCCAAGCTTTAACTTTTCCACCCATGTTCAGCTTTTGGACGTATAACAATCAAAGTCCGTTAAAACCACCTTGTCTTCTTTAAGTAGGACTGGCTCGAGAATACAATGGACGAATTTATGTAATACCAGTTACTGTAGACCCCAAGCAAAGCCAAACAAGGGGCAAAATATCCTATTCTAATCACTACTAGCGAAGAAAAAATATCATCTATAGCATTCACCATGATTCTACTGCTAAACTCATCCAAGTTGAGATTACTACAATTTTTTACGATCTAATATGCACATTATGTGCTCACATTTTCACTTAAGAAAACATCTAGTGATGACAAAAAGCAATTTCATATGATCCAGGGTCCAAATATAAATGATGCAGAATTCATAACACATCATGTTACGAATTACTAAAACTGTTTTAGCTAAAGAAAATATCATTGAACTAAAACAAGTAAAGGGCAACTTCACATTCAAATTCATCACACTCTAATTCAATCCATAACTTAGACAAGATTCACTCATAACAGAAATCCATGAACCAGAGAAGGTTCATTTATGTGCAATGAAAAACCAAGTAAGAACTTTGCTCACTTCTTGTTGCGCCGACCACGCTTAGGTCCCCATCCTTCAAGTTTGGCAACTGGGCACCCACATTTCGCACGGAAAAGCAAGACTGCACGTCCATTGGACGGGGCCATCTTCCTCAACTCCGCGCGCAGGCATTCATAATCCGGATTATCCTCACAATCACCTTTCCATGGCAACTCATTGACATCCTTAACTGCCTTATTCTCCAACCGCAACAACTCCTCCCCCTGTAACTGCAGGTCAAACTCCATGGCCTTCTTCAATCCTTTACACCCAATCTTCCCGCATCTCTTCGATCTGAACCCACAACAGATCTCGAAAAACACAACAAACATAAAAAAAGAAAGAAAAAATAACACGAAAAAGATGTACTGGGATTGCGCATCAGATGATATATGATAGTAAAGCTGAGAAACAAGGGCGGAAAAGGGGGGGAGGAGAAGGGAAAACGCCTGGAAGAGATAAGAGAAGTAGGAGATAATAAGAAAGGTCCCCGAGAAGAGAACAATGATGAAAATAAGGATGTCGAGGGTGGCTGAAGGGGAGTGCCTGCAGAGCGAAGGGCAATTTGGGGTATTTGCATGGTGGTGGTTGGCGTTGGCGGGGGTTGCTGAACTGGGTTTTGTGGTGGTCGGTTTTTTCTGGGAAGAAGGGGCCATTGTGAGGAGGAGATGGCGCATGTTAGTGAAGAGGTGAGGAGGTGTGTGTCGGTGGATATGGGGGTTTCGATTGGGGGATCTCGTGTTTCTTGCTGGTGGAAAAGTGAAAAATGAGAGAGGTGCGCATGTTAGCCAACCGTAAGGGGTTGAGAAGGGGTGCGTACGTTAGCTATCATTCACTCATAATATTTTTGTCTCTCTTCAACGAATTTGTCTTTTTTAACCTACCAATTTAACGGCTTTTAGATATCCAGTTTTTTATTTTTTACTGTGTTTAAATACAACTTTTAAAAAAATTAACTACTAATTTTTACATTTTGATTTAGTTGAGGTCCAATTTTTGTTATGAAACTCAATTTTTTGATAAAGTTAATTAATCAAATTCAGTTTTCTTAAAAAATAATAAAAATAAAAACTTAGACTCATCAAATATTTCTAAACTCAAAGATAGCATATCGAGCTCAGAATATTTACTTACTTTGAGATTATATTGAGACACTATATCAAAAGCTTAAATTGTTAAATAATAAAGTAATTTATTTATTTGTATTCTAGTTTAAATTGAAATAAATAGTAAATATTGGCATGTTTTGGCTTAGCCATTACTCTCGAGAGTATGATGAATAAAATTTCCAACTTAATTCTCGTTTTCAATTCTGTAATATACTATCCAATCTTCTCACCAACATGATGTCAAATAGGTCGAAACAATTTCGTAAACATCTATATAATGGCACAGTATGCTAATCAACAAAACTTCAGAGTTTAGATTAATTTATTTATATTGTTATAAGATCATATTCATCAAAGATGAAGATTTAGTAAAATTCACAATCTGGGAAGATCAATTGCGCAACAAGCGACCAAACATACAATGCAGCAGTGACCCATTCGGTGCAGAATTGAACCCAAACTAATGTCCACTCAACATCAATGTACCATGACCTTTCGTTGCTGCTGGTCCATCCCGAAAGAAGCATGGCTGAGTACATGCTAGCCAAAGCAAATATCAAGTGGAAGAAGGTGTACGAGTGACTAACAAATCGTGCTTTAGCTTCTTTCTTTTGTTTTCCCGATTTTGAGTCATCGACTGTAGAAAAAGTCTCGTTCCACCTACAATGAAAAATTTTAAGGTCAAGAATCTAGCTGCAATAAATGTTCAAAAGCATAGTGCATGTTTGGTGTACGATATTGAACATTAGCTTTACAATGAATAAGATTACGAGCATCTTTGGTAAAAAATAAATAAATAAATTGCTATCTTATAAGCTAAAAACCCATAAATTGTGTTGTTTATAAGCTACGGGACCCACAGTTGTGTAGATTTTGGTCTACTCAAATTATGAGTACGCTGCAACTTCATTTGCAATTACTGTTACACTAATATAGACGAGTGCATTGATATTTAAGGCCAGATATTTGCTCAAAATTCCAAGAGATTTGGAGAAAATGATAACAAAATCAAGAACTACTGAAAAAGGTTTTGGAGATCAATTTAAAATATGTGCTCAAGGCGAAGACGAAGGGGTTAAAAAGGTTGTCGCAGATTGAACACGGAGTGCCGAATATAAAACTGATAGAACTATTGTAAGCATCCCAAGAACAAAGGTACTTGTTGATACAACTTTCGACTTCTTGTGAAAACCATTGCATTCATAACCTCGATACTCACTTGAAAGACCAGTATAACAAAGATAAGCACAGTAGGCCGATACCACAGAAGCAGGCAAGAGGCTGCCATTTACCTGTTGTAAATTGAACAATCTCATATACTGAGTAGGTAATAAACACTGTTTCACTTATTAAAATACGAAGAATTTCACAAAATCAATTCTTGTATTAAGTGCTGAACAAGTTTGTTTGGCTAAGCTTAAATAATATTTAATTTTAAGCAACTTTTTGTTTCAAACATGCTGTATAATTTATCGGTAGTTGTCCTGAATCGATTATCGATACGATGCAGGGTGGATTTACTAATTGTAACGAACTTTGACTCTACCCCTGAAAAAAAAAAAATAAAAGGGTACTTGTTGATACAACTTTCGACTTCTTGTGAAAACCATTGCATTCATAACCTCGATACTCACTTGAAAGACCAGTATAACAAAGATAAGCACAATAGGCCGATACCACAGAAGCAGGCAAGAGGCTGCCATTTACCTGTTGTAAATTGAACAATCTCATATACTGAGTAGGTAATAAACACTGTTTCACTTATTAAAATACGAAGAATTTCACAAAATCAATTCTTGTATTAAGTGCTCAACAAGTTTGTTTGGCTAAGCTTAAATAATATTTAATTTTAAGCAACTTTTTGTTTCAAACATGCTGTATAATTTATCGGTAGTTGTTCTGAATCGATTATCGATACGATGCAGGGTGGATTTACTAATTGTAACGAACTTTGACTCTACCCCTGAAAAAAAAAAAAAAAAAAAAAAAAAAAAAAAAGAAAACCTTTTTTCCAAAAAAATAAAAAAAAAAAAAAGAGCAAGGAAACCTTTTTTCCATAAAAATTAAGCTCATATTTTTTACAACTATTATTTGAAAACTATTTTTCCTGCCCACTCATTTTCAAACATTCATTCACAGTTCACACAATAAAATATTCTTCACGCAAATTCAAAAAAAATTCTCTACTTTTTAGCCTCGTATTCTACTAAAAATAATTGTTTAAACATTGTTTTCTCAAATAATAGCTATCAAACATGGGTTATAGAGTGGCTTAAATAAGTAAAAATTATAACCTTATCATACTCTTTAGCAACCACTTGGTAGTATATGTGGGTTAAAAAGTCAAATTAGAATATTTTCCATTCAAATTTCAAATTATTTTCCAAGAATTCTAATTCTTATTTCCCAATTCCTGATAAATAAGGCGAAATATGACCTTAAAAAAAATTAGATTACAACATTAACAGTTGAAAAGATAGTTTCTCAACTCAAGGTGCAACACAATAATGACGAAAGCAAAGGGAAGAATAATGATCATCACAATGAAAAAGATATTAAGACCACAATCGTGATCAGATGGATTAAAACAAAAGAAAAGGATTCCCAAAAATATAAATGCTGCTAGATAACACACGACTAATACAACCAGCAGAGCTACGTACTTGAGAACAAGAGAGATAAGATCACAAATCAACAAATAACTAGGTTGAGCATTAAAAGAATGAGCAATAACTTTGAACCAATCACTTATGTTCATCTTTAGCAACCCATGAATCATTCCATGAATGTGTAGAGTCCAACAATATTATGAAAACGCTCTTCCTCTGCAGGTGATGTTCTCCATGGCTGATGAATACGTACCAGATTACGTGGACAAGAAACCATTGGTCAATAGGCAAGAACGACTCTTTGTAAAAGTTGTAACTATATGTTCTAAGTTGAATTCTTTTTTGTAGGATATTTTACTTATGTCTTCATCCGCGCTATGAACTTTTCCAGGTTGTTCAGAGTAATAGGTGGTGTATGGAAACCATTCGCTATGTAATAGAGTTGAGGAAGCGGTCCGAGCAATAATCAAATTTGAAAAGAAGGGACGAACCCAATGGATGGGATGATCCATGGAGTCAATGCTGTGCACTAAAGTATTTTGATATTAATTAATTTGTTATGCATTGTGATGAGGACATCGGACGACGTTTATTTATTTTATTTAAGCTTTATTTATTTTTTTGGACTATTATTTAAATTTGGACTTGTATGGGCTCGGGCCCAAACTCGTTAGGGTTGCTTTACTATTTAAACCTATTTTGCATTATAATTTACAGTTGATGATGAATGAATAATTATTTTGGTGGCTTATGGCGCATCCCTCCCCTTATTCTACCATCTTCTGTTAAATTCTTCTTCTCCCCCCCCCCGCAACACACACAAAAAAAACTTTTAGCATGAGCAGCCAAGTTATTATTTTTCCAGCTTCTTCATAGTTCCAAAAAAAAAAAATGTTCACGTTACTGTTCACATGTGGAAATTTCAGTTTAGGTTTTTCTGCAATTTCAGTTCACATCCCAGCCAAAAAAAAAAAAAATTCGTGTTACTGTTCACGGGTACTATTCACACCCGAAAATTCATTTTTTTGTATTATCAGCTTCAAAAAAAAAAGTTACTGCTCACACCAAAAAAAAAATCTCATTTTTTCCCTCCTGCTGCTGATGCTGCTGCTCATAAAAAAAAATAAATAAATAATTGTGGTGTTGTTCCACAAATCCCAAACCCTAGCATTCAAGTCTACTTAGCCCTTCAACCCATATATTCCATCTCTATAACCTACTCCATTCATTTTTTTATCAAAACACTTGGGGCATAAGCTAGTGGCCCAAATTACTCCCAAAGCCCACTAAACACACAGCCCATCTCTCATCATTTATTTAGCCAATCCACTTGTTTTTCAGCCCAATAAACACTAAATCCAACCCACTTATCACATATTATCACAATCGGCCCAACACAATAAATAAGGCGAAATATGACCTTAAAAAAATTAGATTACAACCTTAACAGTTGAAAAGATAGTTTCTCAACCCAAAGTGCAACGCAATAATGATGAAAGCAAAGGGAAGAATAATGATCATCACAATGAAAAAGATATTAAGACCACAATCGTGATCAGATGGATTAAAACAAAACAAAAGGATTCCCAAAAATATAAATGCTGCTAGATAACACACGACTAATACAACCAGCAGAGCAACGTACTTAAGAACAAGAGAGACAAGATCACAAATCAACAAATAACTAGGTTGAGCATTAAAAGAATGAGCAATAACTTTGAACCTACCACTTCTGTTCATCTTTAGCAACCCATGAATCATTCCATGAATGTGTAGCGTCTAACAATATTATGAAAATGCTCTTCCTCTGTAGGTGATGTTCTCCATAGCTGATGAATACATATAAGATTACGTGGACAAGAAACCATTGGTCAATAGGCAAGAACGACTCTTTGTACAAGTTGTAACTATACGTTCTAAGTTGAATTCTTTTTTGTAGGATATTTTACTTATGTCTTCATCCGTGCTATGAACTTTTCCAGGTTGTTCAGAGTAATAGGTGGTGCAGAAAAAAGTTGAACTTGAATATGGAAACCATTCGCTATGTAATAGAGTTGAGGAAGTGGTCCGGGCAATAGTCGAATTTGAA